TTCTTACTTATGCCCTGTTTGAACAAAGCTTGGCAAACAGGTTTTTCACCGTTGACCCAGCAAACATACGGCGGGGATATAGTAAGAAAATTCTCAAGCTCAGAGCCCACACGTTCATCACACAAAATTTTTTCTCATTCCGAGTAGTATCTGGGCTTATGCTATTACCACAACCACGTAAACAATCTCTTCTTGGTTCGCCCCATACAAATTGAACATGCACGATAATTACCTCGTTTGTGACTGTATAGTTACACATAGTCACTGAATGGCGCATTAGGTATCACTGTTTGTGTCAACAACACTTGCATGCATTGCATGTAGAAACCGGGGCGAGATGGCCGAAGTGGTTAGAGCGCGAGTTTACTAACCTGAAGGTCCGTGGTTCGAATCCGACCTCCGCCACTCGACTTCCCCTGTCTAGGCTTGGGCAACCTGGCAGTATCCCAGCCCTCGTGCTCCCTTCGGGTGGCATGGCAGCTAGGCACCGGAAGGGTGCTACAGCTGAACGCTTTATCTTTATTTCTTACCTACGGGAAGCTCTCTCCTGAGTTCATCACATCAAGTGGTGTCCGGCAGGGCTGTCCTCTTTCACCTTTCCTCTTCAACTTCGTCATTGACACGATCATGGAAGACTGACTACCAGCCTCTAATGCCTGTGGGGTCGAAGCGCTCCCTGGGCCTCCTCATAGGTGACACAAATGAAAAGCGAAAAGTTGTGGTAATAGTGGTATTCATGCCTAACTCCCGTACAAGCACGAAGTTTATGTAATTTCCAAAGCTTCAGAATGGAAAGACGAGAAGACCGGAAAAAGACCTGATGTTGGCCTGCCACAGGCATTCTAAGACCAATACTTCCAAATGCTCAACCTTGAAGGAAATGACAACACGGGCGTCACACACATCGGTCAACCGGCCTCCAGGCAAGCGCATGGGACCCTGTCTTGTTAGGCGGACCGAACCAACAACATAAATCCCTTCTTGAGCTATTTCACACTCTGCCGAGTCATGCGTCCACTTGGTAGTTGTCGGCATTCTGAGGCACAGAGCGACAGCTCTCGGTGTGCGTAACGCATGTCCGAACCACCACGTTTGATGATACCCGGTGCTCTACGTATCTGAAACCCCTGCCACACAACCAAACGCCCGTTTTCTAATTACTTCGTTACGAATTCGTTGACGCCATTCTACGCCGCCAACTTTGCTGGCGTAGAATGTCTCAGAAATATCGCTTCTGAGGCATCAGTGACAAAAAAGCTGAAGATGCTTCACATCATTGGTCCGGAGAATCCGTGTTTCGTAACTAGTACAACAAAACGGCCCGTAACATTGCCTAGAACACAGCCCCTGGGACGTAGTGACGTGCACTTTTGATGTCGTGTGACAGATGAGGTGAATGCACGAAACTCACCATCATCATTATCGACAGCATGACATCAGTGTTCAACACCGATGCTTCACTGCCGTACAACCATGATTTATTTGAAAGCCTTATTGTAAAAGAAAGGGTAAAGGTGGACAGTAAAGGGACTTGGTGCTAGCTTAAAACAATCATTCCGAGGTTCCTACACCTCCAGACATTCACTCAGGCAATCTGGATGGAAACTGACAACAAGAACGCCACTGACACCGATCGCCAGCCATATCATGTAGTGTCTCCAACCAGGCACAGTGAGGATCACGCGTTCCCCATCCTGGAAGGCGAGTAGCACCGACAGCACCCAAGCTTTTCGTGATCTCTTTCATGCTCCTCTACCAAGTCAAAGGTTGGCCACCTCTCTGTTTACCCCACTCTGAGTTGGGCATGGAAAACAGTACTCTCTTCGGCAAACGATGGTTCGGCATGCGTAAAACATGTCCCAACCAACGC